TGAGGGCAGACAGTTTATTTTAGCTGACACATTAACCCAGATCTGCGATAAAGTCGGATTGCCTTCTGTGTGCAACCCGAAATAAACTCTTCTGTGCTTCCTATTCATTTCTCCTGATGCTACTTTAGGTGTAGGTCTCCCTCCTGGCTCTGCCTCTGTGTGAAGAGGTTAAATCGTCGCAGCTAAAAAGGACACGGCTATTTGTCGTCCCTCTCCTGTCCAAACATGAAGCTATTCAAACACGCCGTGTCGTAAAAAGAAGACAAAATGTGCCCTTTTTCACGTTTTCCACCGATTTTTAACGAGGCTATTATGGAGATGGACTGTTCTGAAGAGAACGGTCCACAAGCAGAGGGTGAGAGAACATTAAGGCAGCATGGGAGCTGATTGTTTTTAAATTGAAATGCTTAAGTTTGAGGATTTCCGATGCGTGTTACTACTGCAGGTTTGCAGACGAAGAAGCTTTTTGATTAAAACAAAACAGACGCCGTTAGAACACCTGAGATTTGGACCGATTCCCAGTATCGATGTGATACCAGTGCTTAATTAAAAAACTGTTTGCCCCACTGAAACTGGAATGACTCTTTCATGCCTTGTTCACGCTACATGATTCTTAGCCAGACTGTCTACTCACTGAAAACTTTGGGAACCAGATCAAAGCCAAAGCCACATTATCACGATGTGTGAAGTCTTGAGTGACGTGTCGAGGGGCTTGCAGAAATTAGATCTGTCACAAACGATGAATATAGATTTCTAACGACCCACTGCTGATGCAACAATCCTATTGTTGAAACCTAATCCTGCTGTTTGGGTCAGAATCATACTGATATCAATGCTGCCTCAGTCGGTGCAGCACCAGAAAGTAATCCTCCGGTTTGGTTGACAACTTTAACTTTGCACAAAATCTCCACTGCCTCCCGCCGCCTGCTAAAAATGCGTTCACACTCTCCAACATCCTGACGTCTCCTCTCGCTTGTGTGTTCGACCAGCGTCATCGCAGTTCAGATGTCGTTCAGAGCGTAAAACCTTTTCTCATTCACAGCGGTTTGTTTTGAAGGGCCGGGGGGGGGAGCTGACTTTGCAGAATCAGGCCGAATCTCCTTTCACTCACAGACCCATGTGGAGTTTGGAAACTCTACACTGCACTCCAGGTGAGGCGCTTTGTCCGCTACAGAGACAGAAAATGTGCCGATTCACGGACGCAGTGTAATCAAGTCCACTTGTGCTTGGAACGGGCTGAATGCTGCTGCTTGTTTTTTAAGGACTTGATCTTTACAAAGGAACCAGGAGGAAAAGTTGTTTGCCTGCTGGCTGACATTCTCTCCTTCTGTGCCGACGAGTGAGCTTCCTGTTTTTCTTAATTCTCCTGCGTGGAGGATCCTACCGCTGAGGAACAGGGATACAGGAAAAAAAAAAACAAAAACAAACAATGGCCCTGATCTTGTGGAGGTGTATCCATGGAGACGAGGCCTCACTGTAAAGCATTCCCCACTGTGTGCTGCTGACAGACCAGTGCTGCCGAAGACCAGCTTAACAAGTTGGAGGCCGAACGCTGTAAACACTCACTTCCATTAACGGTGTGGACGATACGGACATGTGTACGAACAGTGACAGGGCATGCTTCTGTGTATTCTGCAGTGAGACCTGCTTTAGATCTGTAATCCTGTCGAACGAATGTTCTAAACTCCGAGCACATGTATGTTCTAGACTTTAAAACCACAACTAAATAAAGTGAAATGAGTAAAGGGGGAATATCGTCCCTCTCAGGCGTCCTGTTCACGAGGAGGAGCGACCATCTTTATCCCCTGGGGGCTAAACATAGATTTCCCATTAGCCTCTTTAGGAGGGATGACATCACCTCTCGGGATCTTTTACTCCAGCGTGGATCACATGAGGACAACTAGTTTATCATCAACAACACGTCCACAACATTTGTTCTTGATTCTAACAGAGGGAGAGGATGTGACAGTTTCCTCTTGAGCTTTGTTTTTTTTGTCGGCTCCAGTCTGTTCAGAATGAAACACTGAGTAAATGACTAATAGATCATTTAAATGTCTTGTCCAAGGACATGATGACCACAAAATAAAATGACAGTAAGCCTGGTAGGAATAATTATTTCTCCTTCACGTCTGGACTTTTCCTGTCACCTCCCGAACGTGATGTTTCTGTTTCTGAGGTTTCTGATGGACGCAAAAGTTTTCCCGTGTAAAAGACTGTCCCCGGGAAACTGTCCAGACCATGGTCTTTTTTGCAGGTTTGGAGACAAAGAATTTCAAGGTCAAGAAAGGCAGCAATGAAATAAAAAGTAAAATATGAAGGTGTAAATTATACAACACCGGTCAAAACCAATCCACCTCAGTTCACCTCTAACCTGTGTGCTACTCACTCTGGGATAAGGAAAGCTGATTGGGTACAAACAGGCGACAGGTGGTCCATGAAAGGCAGCGGCCGGGCCCCGGGGGGGGAGAGTAAACAAGATAGAGAGCAGGTGGCAAAAGGTTTAACCTGAGCTAAAACCCGTCCAATGAGCTCATCTCCACTGGCTTATCCATTCAGCTCCCAGTCGTCTGCTTTCTGCCAGAACAGCCAGATCTGAGTGTTCCCCGTCGGCCAAGTGAGCCTCCAGCGCTCTGCTAATCTGTCTGAGCACCAAACCTGGCGGCCATATGCCCGAATCCCAAACAAAGCAATCAGGACATAATTGTGTGTGTGTGTGTGTTTGAATGTTTTGAAATGAATTTATCAGCATATATTTGTGTGAGGCGTGTCCGCCTCATCAATGGCGTGCGCGGTAATCCCCTCTCGCTCTTGTTATTGTTGTTGACCTATCCCCTCCATTCATGCCAGGGCAGTCCAGGTAAACCCAACCCCGTAAACAACAGATTCCCAGAAGCCCAGCGTCTCATAACAAGTGTGTGTGTAAACTCCGCTAATCCCTCGCTGCCAACGTATCTCATTGAACTTAGCGTGACCCCGCAGCAGCCATGCAACATATCTGACCATTTCTGAGCGCCTCCAGGAACACAACGCGCCGTAATGTGTGCTACTCAGAGGGCGGAACCAACACACTGCAGGTGAACAGGGACAATAACAACGTCCTGTGTGGTTGTGGTGGTGTCAGCACATGTATCTGCCTCCCTGCCTGCCGCTACGCTCTAATCCCCCCTGAGTCCGAGCCTATTTTAATGATGTCATGGCAGTCAGAAGTGCTGATGTTGTCCTCAAGACTCTGTGTAATTGAATTACTTCTGAGAAGACGCACAAACAAGTCGGACCTCAGCGCCGCAGATTATCTGTTTCTAGTAAAAAAGCTCCTGCAGCACGAGCTGATCCATGAAACGAATGTTTCTGTTATTGATCATCGTTACAGTGTGAGTCAGCTGATGCAATGATGGGACTTTGACTTGAGTTAATCAAGAGACGCTGCTCACCACCAGTCTCCCGCTATGACGACTGTCCTGTCTGACACCGAGTCTTCTGTTATTCATGCAAACTGTTTTATGAAACATATTTTCCTCTCATCCTTTAGTCGTTACTTTAAATGGTGTTGAATCAGTCTAACTGCTGTATTTTAGTTGAAATATTCTATTATCTGTATATCATTATTTGATTTGAAATCACATCGGCTTCTTGTCTCAGCAGGTTCCCATTCATGAAGCCCATTATCATTTCCACCACCTTCATCATCTTAACACGCTCACTGGTGGCGCCGCTAAATGGTCCCCGTCGAGGGACCGGTCCAAACACGTGGGCTGAATAAATGCCCCTCGTGGAGAGATTGTGGAAACCGTATGTTGTCATTAGGGAGGTCATGTGGTAACGACCTCAGTACACACAGCGTGGAGTGGACGCGATCCTCTCAGGGGTAAAAACAAATTCTGCAATCCAGGCAAAGTGTTAGAATCCACGTCCCTGCTGTAATATTATATAAGATGTATAAAAAAAATGAATTTGCATTGTTCACTTTATATATTGAAAAATGTCACTTTAGATGGTATTACCTAATTTCATTGTCTTTCATGTGCAAATGCAAATAACGGCTGACGGCGTGATCTTATCATTTGATCATTCAATTCAGAGCAACAGCGTTGACGTGTTCCAACTTATAAAATGAAATCTGACGATCGCTCACCTGCAAAGTAAAAGTTTCAGGTTGTGAAGTGCAATCTGGATGTTGTTTATTCAGAAATGTTCCCGTCGTGGATTATTCTAATATGAAATACAATTAGCGTAATGGATCCATTCAAAGCAATTTACTTGTGAAAAAAAATCAGGAGGCGAAGAGAAAGAGAAAAGATGCTTTCTACAAAATGCACACACACACACACACACACACACACACACACACACACACACAGAGGTTTGTGCAACAATCATAATAAGGACTTATCATAGATAAGAGCCAAAACCTTATCCCTGACCTCAACCATGATAATAACAATTAACTTCATTTATAGAGCACGAGAGCACAAGTTCATGTAAGTCACGAGATAAAACAAACAAAAGTTACACGTTAAAAAGCCATTTTATGAGAATGTATTTTTAAGAGAGGAGGCTGACCATGGACCAATTCACGCCGAACCCAAACCATAACCAGACTGAATAACCATCTGCACTTTTATATAAGAACTGCAGCTCTCCAGTCCAATTAAACCCCAGGGTCTCGAAGCTTTCAGACGACGTCCACTTATGAAAGAATGTGTAGCTTTCTATGAGTGATGAGAAAGGTCGCCTCAGGAGTGAGTCACTCAGCGTTCATCCACAAACCAAATGTGACATTTGAGCTTTACTAACAAGTTGTTTTTTGAAAAAGAAAAGCTTCTCCCTGCAGATACTTTATCTAATCAGCCTCGTGACTCTGAGGGGCAGAGACAGCAGGCCTCTCCCACACACTGACCCCCGCTATTAACTCACATGCACAGAGGTGAACAGGACATTGACAGAAACACACACACACACACACACACACAGAGCGGTGGAACAAAGGACGACCGACTCACCTGGTCGTCCACTCTGTGGGCCACGACCGTAGCCGCCTCCTCTTGCTCCGCATCGCTGAGGGGTCGGATCCTCAGGGCAACCTGCGGCACACACGGTGAAGTCAGTCGTCTTTCAGTTTAACGGACTCACAGATATCACATGGAGGGAAATAAACACTAAATGACTTCTTCTTGTGTGTCTGGAGTCGATGCAGTTGGATGTGGGTGTTTAAATTGAATAGATATGTAAATGTGCTGTTGACAAAGCTCCTCTGGTTCCACAGAAGAAATATTCTTTTGGTTTCACACCTGATTTTGAAAATGTGTGTTCAGCAGAGAAACGTTGTTTATTTTCCTCCTGTGTCAAGTCTTAGAAAACAAACGACCCCTGAGGAGCTCATCCAGATTCACTTGAGATGTGAGGCTTCAAAATTTCCTGCTCTAAAAACAAAAGGAAGATTTGTAGAATTCAAACGTGAACATTTTGAAAATGTGGGCAAATATAACCAGACAGGGATGATGTGAATAAAATACACTACTTGCTGTAAATTCTTGGAGGTGAAGGATTCAGGAATAACAAAGCTTTACCTATAGAAGCTACGTAGAGTCTGGATATGTTGACCTCTGCATCATTGATTTAGCATCTTTTAAAGGGAATCTCTCAATAGCCAACATTTATGGAGGTGCACTAGTGCTCGATTCACAACCTGATGAATGCTAACATCTGCAAAAAAGTAAGAAGCTAAACATTATCACATTAATACACTCAATTAGAGCCTTTCTGCAATATTAATTGAAGTGAAATGGGATAAATAACAATCACGGCAGTTTCAGAGGCTGGCTGGGATATTTAAACTCAAATCTATTGTCGGGGACACTGCAGTATAAATTAAATATGTCTAATGTCTGGGTCTTTCTGGGTCGTTTGTAATTATAACACAAAACCACCTCAGACCCACCGCTGCTGCTGCTGCTGCTGCGGTGGAATAACAAGGTCTTGTGTGAGTCAGTGAGCGCAGAAAGCTTATTACATGTTGGACAAGAGAGAGACCAGGCACCTGAAACAGCAACTTCAATAATTCAGATGAGCACAGAGCAGCTAGTGAAGGGCTGAGCTGCAAGAAACTATTGTTTTTACCGTCAGGTAATCAGAACAGTATTCTCTCCATCGATACACGCAGGATTATTCTATCGTCCATAAATGTTTGATGGATAAAATGTCAGAATACAGTGACAAATGACCTAAAGCACCAGGTGACGTCTGTAAATGTCCAAAGCATGAAAAAATATTCAGTTGAATACAATAAATACGAATTTCCAAACCATAACAAGGGAGAATTTGATAACTGTCGAAAACATATGATGCAATATAATATGACATGTTATGTTAACGGTCCAAAATCAAAAATTGCATGCAATGCAATCTAATTCTACCTTGATTATGTGTTGAAGAGCCGATACTGGTCTAAATAATAATAAGTCCAGTGCAACACTTGTGATATTTTATTTGTTTGCTTTATTATTATTATTATTGATAATTATGATGATGAATGTCACCTCATTATTTCTGTTAAACTCTTATCAATGTGCAAAGAATGAGAAAAAAACGTTATATAAACCTGAGGTGGATCATTTGCTGTTGGTGACTGATATTGTTTTCTCGCCCTCGGAGACAAACATTTAAATTCGAGTAAGATTCAAACTGAAAAACAAAAAAACAGTAATAACGGTGAAGTTAACGCTGTAGATGTTCCTGATAAAGTTGTTTCTGTAGCTGGTCACTGATAACAACTCTTAGAATGTAAAAAGTTACAGCTCAGGGTTTCTGTGGTTTCAAATAACACGAGTGGACTCACTGTGAATTGCTGCTCCTTGGATTCCCCCGTGTCCTTCATGGTCACTTCGGTGCAGGACAGCGGGCGTCAGACGGGACCCTGAACCATCCTGTCCTCCTCTTCTTCCTCCTCTTCCTCCTCTTCCTCCTGCAGCCAGCGGGCTCCCTGCTGCCGCTCTGACCGCCGCTCAGCGTCTCTGTGCTGGGGGGGGGACAACCGGGAGCTGCCGCCGGGAGCGAAGCAGCTTCACGACCTCCGCTTCTTCAACAGCTTCCTGCGCTCACCGACGCTTCAGACTGAGAGACAGACAGACTGAGAGACAGACAGACTGAGAGACAGACTGAGAGACAGACTGAGAGACAGACAGACTGAGAGACAGACAGA